AGAGAGAGAGAGAGATAAGAAAGAAAGAAAGAAAAAAAATAAATAAATAAAGATAGATAGAAAGATAGATAGGTTAGATAGATTAGACAGATTAGATAGATTAGATAGATTAGATAGATTAGGTAGATTAGATCGATTAGATCGATTAGATAGATTAGATAGATTAGGTAGATTAGGTAGATTAGATAGATTAGATAGATTAGATAGACTAGATAGAAAGAAACATAGATAGATCGATAGACAGATCGATAGATACGTAGATACATGGATAGATAGATTAATTTATTTATATATATATATCGATAGATCGATAGATACCCAGGTACATAGATACATAGATAAATAGATACATAGATACATAGGCAAATAGATACATAGATACATATAAATACATAGATACATATAAATAGAACGGTAGCGACTGGCTGGCTGGATGACATGGGTGGATGGATGGACGGATAGACTGCGCATAGCTACGTAGATGCAGAGATGGGGGCATGGAGAGAGAGAGAGAGAGAGTGAAAGTTAGGTTGATGCATGGATGGCTTGACGGAAGGCTGGACAGATAGGTTGATAGATTGATAGCTCGATGGCTACAGGTCATTGAAGCTTTGTCCTGCAGCAGGCTGCAATGACAGCCTGCCATAAAGCCATGCCTGTGCTGAAAGTAGATCCTCACGTCATCTCTCTTTGGCTACAAGCGGATGCCAGCTAGCGCGCTTGATGTGAGATGGAGACATGGACCAGTGGATAGAGTGAGAGATATATTGATAGGACGGTAGACAGATGGATACCTATAGGCTAAGAAATTCTCTGACGTGTCTTCTGACTTGCTGGTTGCACGCATCATGACAGTAGTCAGCAGCGCTAGCACACCTTGCTGCGTTGTGACTACCCCCGTTGCCATGCTGCACGTGGCCGTGCCACCTGTAAAGCTTGGTACCACATGGAGCCCATGCTGGGCCTATGTTGATCCACGTTAGGTTCTTGGAGGCTTTGTTGAACCCATATTCGAGCCATGTTGAGCTTATGTTAAGCCAAGAACAGTGTGTTCCTTTTAAGCCTCTACCCAGCCCAAAAGGAACACGTCGTTTTTGGATCATGTCGGGACCATGCTGGGCGTATATGGGCTGGGCCTATGTTGATCCATGTTAGGCTCTTGGAGGCTATGCTGGGGGCATACCCGAGCCAGATTGAGCTTCTGTTCAGCCAAGAATGGCGTGTTCCTTTAAAGCCTTTACGCAGAGCAGAAGGAACACGTTGTTTTTGGTTCATGCCGGGACCATGTTGGGCGTGTATAGAACCTATGTTTGGGCCTGTGCTGATCCATGTTAGGCTCTTGGAGGCTTTGTTGGGCCCATATTCGAGCCATGTTGGTCTTATGTTAAGCCACGAACGGCGTGTTCCTTTTTAAGCCTTTACGCGGCCCAGAAGGAACACGTTGTTTTTGGTACATGTGGGACCCTGTTGGGCGTATATAGAACCTATGTTGGGCCTATGCTGATCCATGTTAGGCTCTTGGATGCTATGCTGGGGCCATATTCGAGCCATGTTGAGCTTATGTTAAGCACAGAAAGCCTGTACCCGGCGCGAAAGGAACACGTCGTTTTTGGATCATGCCGGGACCATGTTGAGGCGACCGCTGGAGAGCTCCAATTTTGAAGGTGTTATGGGCAGTTGTGATGCTTGCGGGGTTGCTGCCACTGGTAAACTTCAATTTTGAAGGTGTTCTGCTCAGGACGTTTAATGCTCTCAGTCGTGATGCTTACGGCTTTGCTCCAACAGAAGAACTCCAATTTTGAAAGTGTTATGTCCAGGAAATTTGCTGCAGTAGGGTATCGATTCCCCTTCAGTCCGGGTTCTAGCCAGTTAAACAAATAGGTGGAGGGAAAAAAACTCCTTGAGAGACTGGGGATACAGAAGCCACCAACAGACTTTCAGGATGTGTGCCTCAAGACTTTTTGCGCAGCTAGGCCTACGCTACAACTGGAGGATTTCAATGATATTTCAATGTTGAAGGTTTTACACGCAGGCAATTTGCTGTGCGTAGGGGTTTTCATTATGAGAGCTGGTTTTCGTTCCCCTTTCTCAGGCTCGTTGAAGTTTAGTTGTCCTGAAAGACTGGTCTAGATGACTAGATGTCGCCATTTTTTTTGAATGAGCTTGCAAACACGGTATGGATGTGTTTCCGTGATGCGCACAAGTTACGTTCTTGTGAAGTCAAGCGCAATGCGATTGCCACATTCAGAGATGTCAATGTCCCCAGAAGCGTTCGTGGTATGCTTCCCTCTGTCTGATGCGCTTGATTTGGAACCAAAATTGGTGGGTGACGCATTCACGGTCCAGATTCCGCTCCAGGCACGGTGAGGTTTCCAGTCAGAAAGGAGCTGAAATTTGTGGATAACGAATTCCGTCGAGCATACCTTCACCCAGTTGACAAGTTTTGGCAATCTACTCGTAGCCAGTTTCATTGAAGTTTGGTCAAGTTGCAGTTTGGCATCATAATAAGGGTGCAACTTCTCCAAACTTAAGACAACTAATTCGAAACAAGACAAAAATGGACTCCTGTCAGATGCTCCCAATGCATTGGGGTCCGGATATGTTGAACTCTCGAGGCACTTCGTGGGTGCCTACTTGGATTGGGATGCCGTGCGAGCCTGCTGGCGCACCCTCTCCAGAGTTTTCCAGAGCCTGTGAATTTGTGTGTGTGTGCGAGTGACCTGGTACTGTTCATCCAGCTGAAAAAACGGTTGTTTTTAACCCATGTATGTATGTATGATCATGTACATAATATGTTCATACTTTAGGTACAATATGATTATTTATGAATGACATATACACATGTATTTCACCAGCTTTCAAGGCAAGGATGAACCTGTGAGTTTGGCTGGAATAATCTTAGCTTTGCCTCGTCCCTTTTGGAACGGCAGTGGGCTTCAAGTGGGTGCTCTGGGCATCGCTAAGTCCTGGTTCGGCATTGCCAAAGTGCAGATGCACAGGATCCAGAAACTTCGTATGGGGGTCAAAAACGGAAGAAGTTCAGCTGTTTCGGAGCGGTCAGGACATTGAATGGTTTGAAACGATTTGTGCCTTTCAGCACCTTGCAATACTCCATGCTAAGGTTCTGGGTTTGAATGAAGTTGTGGCATTTGTAACATGGGTTTCCAAATGTTTTCAACATGGTTACAGGTTTCATAACCTGGGGTACAACCTAGGTTGCAAAAGTTACAACTTGATGTTAGTAACTCCAAGTTGTAACTTATTTATGCTTGCAAGGTGCAACTTCCATCACTTCAAAAAGTGTTGAAACCGTAACTTCAAGTTGTCATATTGTTTGCACAAGTTTGCTTATTTGGAGCGCCGTCTGCTTTAACATGCGCACTAGGATATGTTATTTATTTGAGCGGAGGACCCGTTGTGGTTTGATGGAGCTTCGAAGAGCACTTCTCTGATGGCATGTTGATTTTTCTTTTAGCAGGTCATTAAGTCGTTCTAAAATCTTGGAGCGGTACACCCGCTATACGCAATTCTTTCAAAACGTATGATCTACATGTAATTCTTGCCTACAATCATAGGCTGAAAATGGTTTTCAAAGGAAAAGCACTGTATACCCGCGTTTACCGATCGTATACCAACCGCATATTCACCATACCAATACCCAATATAATATATATATATATACAAAAGTAAAAAGCTATACGAAGAAAAAATCACTTACAGTATACCAAATTGTTTACCGAAAGGCAGGGAGGCCCGTATACCAGCGTAAACCAAGCGTATACCAAACAAATTCGAAGTAACATCTCAACCCTCTCTTTTTTGAACCAGTTGATGAAAATTAATATAGCGAAGTTTGGGGCTCAAACAAAAAAGGAGGCAAGTGCCAAGTTTAGGGTAAAGCCACTGGTATGCTCACATTTCTTGATCTTAAAATGATTTGGATGACACATCACTTTGGACCAGCTCAAGAAGGAGATGAAAAAAGGCTTGTTCAAACATGCAGAGTAGAAATCCAGGACAAGGTCGGTTCGTTTTGTTTTCGTTTTCCAGGAACTGGTTATTTGGCGTTGCGTTTCATGGGAGCATACGGCACGGCTCGGTTCGCAGAGATGATCGGTTCGTTTCGTTTCGCTTCGTTTCGTTTCGCTTCGTTTCCGTTTCACAGACGATTTCTGACTTCAGTGAGTTTGCTTGATGAAGAGTTTACTTTATGTTGGAGAGCTTGCGGTTCAGGAGGATTGGAAAGGATAGTTGGTTGATAGATAGATAGATAGATAGGTAGATAGACAGATAGATAGATAGATAGATAGGATTAGATTGATTAGATTAGATTTGGTAAGGTAAGTTAAGGTAAAATAAGATAAATAGATGAGATGAGATGAGATCAGATCAGATTAGATTGGATTAGATTAGACAGATTAGACAGATTAGATTAGATCAGATTAGATTAGATTAGATAGATAGATAAGATAGATAGATAGATTAGATTAGATAAGGTAAGGTAAGATAAGATAAGATAGATAGATTAGATTAGATAAGTTTAGGTTAGATTAGATTAGCTAGGATAGATAGATTAGATCAGATAAGATAGATAGATAGATAGACAGATAGACAGATAGATAGGGGGCCTGGCATATGTCCGGGACAAAATTTCTGACATACCCTGGCATATTTCTTGACAGTCGTTAAATGATGAAGGAGAGAGACAAAACAAGACAACGGGAGAGAAGTCGATGAGACGGCGGAACATTTTTCCCGAATTTGGCCAATTCTATAGAGCGGGGGATGCCCTGTTTGGTTCTGTATTCTGCGGAGGGCCCATGCCACCTGCCCAAACTAATTTCCATAATTTGCTTAGCACGAACGTTGACAAACGATGGCAGTGAATGACAAGCACGCGACAAACGGATGAAATACAGAAGCACGTGACAGACGCTGCATGATAAACCATGGATTTTCATAATTCGTAGCTGTTTTAGGACAGCTCAAACTTCTTTGCAATGGCAGCAGTTGAAACAGTCTGCTCCCGATGCCAGGGTAAGGGACATCGTGCGGTGGATTGTCACCTACCCTTCTTCCGCAGTTGTCAGTACTGCAAGACTGCGGGTCACTCTGCCAAGGAGTGTCCGCTCTTGCGACACTGTACTTACTGCAAATGCGAAAGCCACACCAATCGCAACTGCGCCAAGCTACTGGCGAAAAGAGCCAAGGCACGAGCGTCAGAGGATTCAAAGAGTGAGACGTCTGAGGCCAGCAATGGTCAGTCTGGTGTGAGCACAGCTTCAGCATGGGCATCATGTGCATCACCTCCCACGAAGCATTGGAAGCAATGGACTGAACCACAGAAGTGTTGGATGCAAGCCTTGACTGCAGATGAAGAAAAACAGGCACGCAAAGTCGAGAAGAAGCTGCGCGAGATTGCAGCTCTGGAAGCTCGGCTTGCTAAAGGTGAAACTTTGGAATACTTGCAGCAGAAGAAGGTTGACAAGAAGTCAGAGTTTGAGGACTGTGAGGTCATGCGCAAGTTGCGCTCTGGCTATAGACGCTGTGACCTACCAGCCAAAAGCCTGATTGAGGCCGGGTGCCCCCGAAACTCCTTGTTTCCAGGCTGCTTGTCCTGATATGTTGGTTGCTATTTGGTACCCAGTGGTTCGGAGGCTGCACGAACTTCTCTTCTCTAGCCCGAGTAATTACACCCTTTTGGATTGACTTGTATTCTTTAGATTTCTATAGAATTCTATAGATGGTTTTTAGATTTCTATAGGCTAATAATCCCCAAATCACCTGTTCCCACCACCCGTTGTGCACAGAAATCTTCCAAGAAGGCGGAAACATCCGAGACCGTGGCGGCTGCACAGAAATCGGCCCCTGCACCTGATAAATCTGAGATGGAGGCAGGGCGCACGGTTCTGCACCTTTTTTTATCACCTTGAATATGGACTCTGGGCGACACAGTGCCGAGCAAATGCCAGGCACCTGTGGACGTGCCTATGGACCTGAGTGGTGCAGCAGAGGCCCCGTCAGTACTGCAAGGCTCGGATGAGACCGTGCCGCCTTGTGTGAGCGGACCCCAATATGTCCGGGTCTCAGCCGGTCCCCATGTACAGTTGATCCAGTTGATCCAGTTGGTTGTAAGGAGCGGGCCAAGCCGCATTTCGTGGCACCGTCAGAGACGGCTGAGGAGTGCGCAACAGAGACGCTATGTACAAACGAGATTACATTGCTTAAGGAGTAGGATCACAAATGGGGAACAAGTTTCTAGGGTGGAAGGTGTAGTTGGTACGCCTTTCCACGTCTTTGGCGTCCTGGCTTATGTCAATCCGTGTGGTCGCTTGCCGTCCATAGTGAAAGAAATTTCATGTCCAGTATTGGCCGTCTTGGTGGCTTCGGCAGGAGCCCTTGCTCGAAGCAGCATCCCACAACCTACCAGATACTTGGGTTGTCGCGGCCCAAGCTTGCGGAGGGCAGATTTTGAAAAAAAACAAACCCAAACAAGGTGTCATATAGGTTATTTGGCAGCAATGGATTTGAGAGCCAAGGATGTGGAAGTCTCAAAACCCAAAAGGGACAGGGGCAAGCAGGCGGCCAACACGTGCATTGGCACAGCACACGGTTGTCTAAGATGCGCATTGACAGTGTCGCGAGTTTCATGTGCGGAAACATGGTCCTTTTCTCTTCAAGCTTTGATTTCGGTCTGCGGGCGGGGGCCGTTTGATGGATTGTTCCGGGGTACGCGACAAGATGCCCTAAGATTATCCTGTTCTAGTATCTTCAGGTGATCTTAGGTCATTATTATTGTCTTGTCCTAAGACACTCATACTTAAACTTGATCCTGAGTCCCTGGCGGAGGGTTCTCGTTCAATCTCTGGGAGTCTGGGGATTGAGGTTTAGTAATCCTTTCCATTGACAACTGCTTGAATTTGTCCAAAGCCGTACGCGACCGTCGACCGTCCGCCGACCGTGCTGACGTGCTGAGATCCCTATGACTTTAAGATCCGAAAACCCATGGAACCCGGCAAATTGATGGTCTCAGGTAACAGGTGGAGCACCTTTTGCATTGTCTTTCTAAGATGACTTCGCTTTTTCCATGGGGGCAGTACTTGTGAGAGGTCCATGTCTAGTTTGGGTGGCAACTCATATGAGCAAGAGGCTAAACTCTCCGTGTAGGAGGTATGTATTCGAGCGATCTTTCATGTAAAAATATGCATCTTGATATGTAAAACGATATAGTGAAGTCCCAAAAACGATAACATGGGAATCATATCATATGTGAAAGCATTGTGGGAAGTGAAGGGGTTGTGTACATGACATGATGGTGGATACCTGTTCTAGAAGCATCTAGATCATCTAGGCTCTCAGTTGTGGGGTACACGTCATGCCCAGCTCACACAACGGAAGATGTGCAAAAGTACGCTGACACTCTTGATCCTGGCCAATTTCTTTATTTCTGATTACTGCAAACGGTTTTGTATCCAATCACGTATTGTTTTGTGGCAACTAGCTGGATTTGGATGCTCTTTTTGTCTCGCCATTGTTCAAGCCTTTCGGATTAGCTCCGCGCTTTCATGCAAGCAGTGACGATGACAACAGGTATCCTTTCCAACTTTCCTTGGTTCATGCCATTTTCCCAAAAATGTTTCCCTCTTTGAACGATAACGAAAACGATAACTAAACGATAGCCATTTCTTGACAAAATGTCCTTCGCTGATGGATGGCCCAGATGCCAAAAGATTCTTGAGATGATCCTTTGCCGTTTAATATTATCACTTGCTCATTGCGATCTTTTCGCTGCTATGCATATTCTTTTGCAGCTTTAGTCAATCCCGGTTCATCTCGGGCACAACTGCACCTGCAGGTCCGGTTTGATGATCTTTATCCTAGATGAAGATAGCCAAGGCAAAGGCGTTGGACCAGGTCGATGGTTTTCTGCGCAGACGCTGGCGAGTGAATGAAAGGCATGGAGCATGTCGCTGTGAGAGCTCACCCGGGTTTCCTCCAACAAACTGAATTCAAAACTTGTTTCTGAGCTGGAGAAAGGATGGTGCAACTGTGATTTGCAGTTGCGTTGGCAGGTATCACACCACACCCACCATACAGTTGAAGCGCTGGAAAAGAAAGCGCAGGGCAGTCAAAGATGCCCAAGACGCGAAGTGGAGGTGTAAAAAGGCTTTCCGCGTGCAGTTTGCCAGGGGATGCGGATGATGCAATCAGGATATACTGTAAAACGACATAGTGAAGTCCCAAAAACGATAACTTTGACCCGAAGACCGCATTTTTCAATTGAGTTTTTGCCGATCGCTCATATAGATATAATATATTTACATATATAGTGGTGTTTATAACTATTATTTTAATATATACCTATATAACACACATATAACATACTGGAAAACATACAAACAAGATATGGAGATGTATGGAGTATTATGATGATGGGGTCAAGTCTGACACACGTTGGCTGGAAAGTGCCAGCTGCTTTCAATTTTGCGCGCGGTAATGCATACTACTGTATGCCTGCAGATATATATATATATATATGTACACATACATATATATATATACATATTTATATATACATATATATATATAGATGTTTTATATATAACATATATATAACATATATATATATATGTAATCTATATATAACATATATATATATGTAATCTATATATAACATATATATATATATAACATATATATAACATATATATATAACATATATATATATAACATATATATATAACATATATATATATATAACATATATATATAACATATATATATATAACATATATATATATATGTAATCTATATATATATGTTATATATATATAACATATATATATATATATTATATGCCTGCACATGTATTCCTGCGGAACGTAGAAAGATGGACTACTGTGCAGCATCAGCAAGTGGAGGAGCATGCCATTTCGGTGCTGACTTTGCAAGTCCCAGTGTCCCATCCAGCCAGGGTTCCATGTCCCTACTGCCTGAGCCATCTACGGAGGCACAAGTGCCTTGATTCAGCAAATTTTCGTCAGGTTTCCTAGCCACAGTTGAGTTCAAACGGGCTTCACAGTATTGAGTACACAGTACACACACACATTTGATCACATTTGTGTGTATCTGTATTATGTGTTTTTTGTTTGCGAAGAATGTTTGCCAATGGTGTTTGAGAAACTCCATCTAGCTTTGAATGGACGAAAGCATCGGTGGTCGAGTGGTGTTTATAGTGGTGCGCAGTATTAGTTGTCTTACAATCAGGCGCACCCCAGTAACTCTCTTTTGAACAAAAGAAATATGGAGGGCCATACTAGATTACCTTATTTTCACACAATCCTGAGTGCCTGGTTGGCGCATGGATCTTTCAATCCAGTTCCCCCGATCATATGAAATTATGCATGTGGGACCCCAATCAATAGACATCCAATACTTAAACCAAATGTTCCTGGCCAAAACTTGGATCCTGCCGAGTGTCAATAATGTGTTCCCCTTCTAAAGTCTGGCATTGTGGAAGGCTTCCAGCCTGGCTGCTGACCCAAGCCAGGACAACATACGCGTCATCCCGGCGTCAAAACAACATAAAATAGTTTACGTTTGTTTTGTTTCAGTCTTTTCGAAATTCAAGTGCTAGATTTAGAAAATCAACCAGGGCGGGGTGACTTTCGGCAAAAAGTCTTGGGGCAGGATGGCCAGAATTCACGTTCACATTCTAGACGGAGACGGCGACTGAACAAGGTGCACAAAATCAATGGATTGTGTGTCCTTTACCACTTCAGAGCCACTAGTTTGATGATGTTCATCCAAAACCGTCGGAACTTGGCTTCAGATGGCTTTGGAGCTTTGCAATCACTGACATGTTCGACATATTGCGCTGGATTTTCTGTTGAGGACCGTGGTACTGGACGATCGTGGCAGCCAAAGGAGCCGTTGCCGTTTTGGTCTTTCTGGAGTTGTTTGAAGAAAAATGACATGAGGGTCGCTTGCTCTGATCTTGCCATGGGGCAAAGTCGAAGAGGCAATGTTTGACAAAGCTTCCAAGTTTCGACTTACATTTTGTGTTTAGATTGGAAGCTGAGTAGGTAGATTCATGTTTTGTTTTGATTTGGAGCAAGCTGACATCAAATACCAGGCTGATCAAGCAAAAGGAGAAGAAGATGAGGAAGCCGCAGCTGCTGCAGCTGTGCAGGTGGAGTTTAGCTTAAACTGCTTGCACAGTCAGAAGATAAAACACATATAATATATATATATTTATTTATTTATTTATATATTTATATATCCATCGATCTATCGATCTATCTATCTATCTATCGATCTATCTATCTCTTTCTATCTATCTCTTTCTACCTATCTCTTTCTACCTATCTCTATCTCTTTCTACCTATCTCTTTCGATATATCTCTTTCTATCTCTTTCTATCTCTCTATCTATCTAGCTATCTATCTCTCTATCTATCTCTCTATCTATCTCTCTATCTATCTCTCTATCTATCTATCTTTCTATCTATCTATTTATTTATCTATCTATCTATCTACCTATCTATCTATCTATCTTTCTATCTATCTATCTATCTATCATCTATCTATTTAACTCTTTCTACTTATCTCTTTCTATCTCTCTATCTCTCTATCTATCTATCTATCTATCTATCTATCTATCTGTTTGTCTGTCTGTCTGTCTGTCTATCTATCTATCTATCTATCTATATATCTTTCGATCGGTCTTTCTTTCTGTCTATCTATATTTCTATCTATCTATCTTTATTACGGTAAAAATATATTTATATATGATTTGAATTGTACATATATATATATCATATTTAGAATCTATATATATATACATCTTTAATATTATATATATACACATTTATGTGTATATATTTTTACATGTTTATTTTTTATTGTACATACATATGTACTTAAATATATGTGTATCCAGCCATCCATCGATCTATCTATCTGTCCGTCTGTCTATCTATCTATCTTTCTCTATCTTTCTCTATCTTTCTCTATCTTTCTCTATCTTCCTCTATCTTGCTTTATCTTTCTATCTATCTATCGATCTATCTATCTATCTAGCTATCTATCTATCTATCTATCTTTCTATCTGTATATTTCTATCTCTATCCACCTATCTATCTATCTATCTTTCTATCTGTATATTTCTATCTCTATCCACCTATCTACCTATCTACCTATCTACCTATCTACCTATCTACCTATCTATCTATCTCTCTATCTCTCTATCTATCTAACTATCTATCTATCTATCTATCTATCTATCTATCTATCTATCTATCTATCTATCTGTATATTTCTGTCTTTCTATCTGCATATTTCTACCAATCTATTTGTTTATTTCTATCTATCTATCTATCTATCTATCTATCTATCTACATTGTTCATTATGTATCTACCTATCTATCTATCCATCTATCTATCTATCTTTCTATTTTTATCATTCTCTATCTATCTATATTTATCATTATGTATCTATGTATCTATGTATCTATTTATCTATCTATCTATCTGTTTATTTATCTATCTACCTATCTATCTATCTATCTATCTATCTATATTTAACATTCTCTATCTATCTATATTTATCATTATGTATCTCTCTATCAATCAATCTATCTATCTATCTATCTCTTTCTATCTATCTCTTTCTACCTATTTCTTTCTATCTCTCTTTCTATCTCTCTATCTATCTCTCTCTCTGTCTATCTATCTATATTTATCATTATGTATCTATGTATCTATGTATCTAAGTATCT